TGTGGAAATTGTTCCACATCATTTCCCACAGACATGTGTGGAATACTCAATACTGCTCGAGTTGAAATGGATTTCACAGAAAGACCAACCCCCACAACTAAAGAAGACCCCAGGCACAGTTTACTGCATAAAGTGTGACTGTGGAGACTCGTACATCGGCGAAACCTCAAGACCCTTTCCTGTAAGAATCAAAGAACATCAAGCCTCTGTGAAGAAGGAAGACTCTAAATCCGCCATCTCTGACCACACCTAAGCTCACCCAGACCACAACATCCTATGGAACAGCATCAATGTACTCACCAGCAATCACACCCACTACAAGATCAGAAAGCTACTAGAAGCCATTCACATCAAGAGACTCTAACTGGCCATGAACAGAGACCAAGGATATTACATCCCCACTGCCTACAACCAACTCATCACCAAGCAATCTTAATCCTATTATTCTCCTGTCTGTCATATCACTGGCTTCCTCCCTTAATCCCCCATAGCTTACTATGTTTGTGTAACTATTGACCTCTTGTGTAAACATCCACCACCTTGTACATCTACCTCATTAATTGTGTAAACATCATCGCTTACTGTTCAACTTTACTATGTATATAAATATACCTTGCATCTAGTATTGTACCAACATTAAGCAACTACAAAAAAACATTCCCTCTAAATACCACAATAACATCCCACTACTCCTCAACCCCCACAACCCAACAAGTATCTTCAACGCCCTATCAGTATTCCTACAAAATTCAAACCTTCTAAAAAGAATCTAAAATTCATTAAATAAACTACAGCTACCTCTCTCACCTCCCACTTACTCAAACATTCAGGCCAGCCGTTCAAACCTCGATTATCCACTCTGCCCCCCTACAATTTCAGACACGGCTCCCATGTTCATTTATCCATACTCTGCACACGCCACGCTCGTTCTCCCCTCTCGCTAAATGTAAACAACCCGTCACAAGCCCACACTGCCAAGGTCAAGGTCACCCGCCAGCCAGCTAAACAACACCGCTTGTCCCTCAACCCGGCCTCTTCCTCTCTTCGCCTCACTTGCTCCCCTCACCCCCTCAACCCAACACCTGTTATTTATTCATCCCTTTATAGCCCCTTATATAACTTATGCAGCTTAACTGCATTAAATATCTGCCCCTATGCTTTACATTCTTAATACAACCCCCGTCCCCCTCCCGCTTTACCCACCTCTAGGCCCCTTTTATATTCACCTATCGTCTATTTCAATTCTACCTCTTATTTATTAACAACCACTATTCCTTATCAATTTTTTTCCTTTTCCTTTATTTAACTTGGCTTTTTATTATTTTCTTATCTTTATCTATGTTTTAAACGCTTTTTATTACAAATTCAACCTAGGTTTAACACCCCATCATTTATATTTTTTGGGTAAGGTGGTTTATCCCTTATTAACATTTATTATTGATTATATTAGCTCCCACCTACCCCGTCGGCGAAATTGGCTTACGCCAGAAGCCGACGTTAAACCTCCAATTTCGTCGTCAGTATTGTACATCATTTGCTTGATAACGGTGTTAGTAGCTACACTGAAACGTCGCTCATATCATATTAAAGAAGGTGTATATCCATAGAACTCTCCTTGTTGTTAATCACACCACCTTCTAAAATGCCACTTACACAAGTTACTCTTTTAGTTTGGAGATATATGAATGGCCAAGGATAACTATTTGCTTTCTACCCATATCAGTACAGAATAATCTAGTCATATTCAATATACAAAAAGAACAAAATATCTAGCTACACATTGCAGGAACAGTAGATGTTATCACAAACAGTCATTGCCATTTTTCAGTTATATTTGTCTTCCAAAGTATTTTCTTCCAGATCAGGCACTCTTCAACCCTTGTAGCAGGACCCATTAAAACATATATGATTTACCATTTACTGGCGTCTTTGTCTTTTCAAGCTATCACACGAATTACTAGCAGTTTGACGTTTAAAGGTGTCCAAAGGAAATTAAGTTCTGAGAGATCACAGCTTGTAACCTATGAAAAAACTTCATTGTGGTGGCTAGCTTGTCTGGGCATCAACCGAAGGACTAAATATTAAACAGTTTTAGTGTAAACCTAATATGTAATCAATTCACGTTTCTCATGACACAAAATTGTTTCAGAAGCATTATTGCACTGACTGCAAAGAGGTACAATGCCCTTTACACCAGATGTAATTCTGATGTTCTAGCTAATATTCATATGTTTATATTAGTACTCAGAGGCTAATTATTACAGATTTCATAAAAGCAAGCTGGACAATGTCCATGCATTTACTATGGTATGGTCAAACAGTAACTACTATCACTAAACTACCACACCTGCTACTATACCTGTCTATATTGGTTGTCAGAAAGTCTAGGAGGAGGTAACTGAGCAAAACTGCAAGATAGGTAGAAATCATCACATTTAAATTTCGCATCATTGGTGAGTGATGACAGATTTAAGCATGGACTACAAACAAAACTTCCGTGAACATAACTGAGAAGAAACATGAATGCGTCACTGTATTACTGTATTTCATTCAAATCATTACTGTGGAAATTGTTACTGTATTCACCACAACAGTTCATGTACAATAGTTTGGAAAACACAATCCCTACATCATTTCTGATTATCAGTCTCTGGGCAGCTACATGCAGTTCCCTCTCTCTCTCTCTCTCTCTCTCTCTCTCTCTCTCTCTCTCTCTCTCTCTCTCTCTCTCTCTCACACACACACACACACACAAAAGAAAGATGAAATCAACCATGTCGAAATGGTAGTATAACATGCAGTACAACTCCCTCTCTCCCCCGCCCCCAAAAAAAGAAAGAAAAAAGAGAAAAACAGCCTTGACTTCCTACTAACTGCAGTGATGCCCCTTTAGCATGCTGGAAGTTCAAATACTCTTACTTCCCCGTATGAACACTTTACATGCCACTATGATAACATCTACCCAAAATAAATATATCCAATTTTCCTAGACTAATAAAACTTCAAGCAGTTTAATAGACAAAATCAAAATGCACGGGCAATTTTCTGATTGGAATTTAGGGTTAGTGAATAAATGAAATCAAACATGAAATTGGAAATCAACGAACGATGGTAAGGCTCAACATAAATGGCTCACCATCAAGCCTTGGGTCGCTTTTCTCTTCGTCATCCTGGAGCTTGTAAGTGTAGACGGCATCATCTTCCCTCATACACAATGTTGTACCAGTCTGGAAACCAAGTGACTGTGTCAAACACTTTGCCTTAGGGATCAACACGTTCACCCCTTATTCAAAGGTGCGAATAACATTTTTTCCAACTATCAGTGGGTTTCTTTCTTCACAACTTCAGAATCTGTCCTCGCTGTAAATCAACTTGATAAGGTTATCTAGGAGCTCTGACAGTGTAGTCATTTCAGTTTTGGAAAGGCTGAACATGGTCATGTCACCATGGTGCTGTTGAAGTACAGTTTTACAGAAGTATAGCTGGGCAGAGAAAGTCTTTTGCCATTCCTTCTTACTTTTCAGCATTTCTGTGGACCTCCTCTGCTGTATGCTATAATCCATAATAAATAAGAGCTGTGAATATCCGGGTAGGAAAGATCTTATTTTTTCATTCACGACACCTACTTACTCGGTAGATACAGTATGTTAGGGAATGCTACTGATGTACGTTCATCACAGCCTAATGTCCGGTCAGAAAATACCAGTGCGTTGTGCCCTTCAGCAACCAATGCTTGTCGTTAAAGGCGACAAACGGGATCAGCTGGTCAGGCTCTCGCTGACTTTTCCGCCTTCGTTTTGGGTTGTTGTTTTCCAAAAAAGAAATCTCTTTATTCATTTCATTTCAGGCTCAATGACTTGGTTGACACATGCCATTGTACCCCAATTGCGTAGGTCACTGGATTGTCTATTCCAGACTCGATTATTTACAAACCGTGGCACCGCCACATGGCTGGAAAATTGCGGAGTGCGGCGCTAAAGACACACCAACAAACTCATGGTATTGCGTGTCAGCGTGACAAAACATGTTTGACATGTAGTTGGGCAAGCATGCTATTTCATTGTCGCGTAAAGAAAAATCTCTTATACCAGGTGTGCAATTCTGAAATCCATAATTCCGTGACAAGTGCCATAAAGAAAACAGTCTCCCATGCAAGATGAGAAACAATTGCTTTTTCCATACGTTCCTTTTCCTGATTAGTAACAATCGCGACAAGACAACCCACATATCCCATTTCGTAGCTTTGCTTAGTTCAAATGATCGTAACATGCTGGTAAGAACGGGATCCGTTCCAATATATATCCCTTTGTTTTGTAAGAACAAATGCTAATGTCGAGCGATAAGGTTAACCTTCTATAGTTCTAAGTGGGTTCTAAGTGGAAGGTCGTTTCTGAGCTGGATGTACAAATCCACAATTATTAGTACTTTCATAGGTCCACCGGCTGTTCGGGGCGGTAGGGTATCCTAGTGGTTAAAGTGTTCGCTCGTCACGCCGAAGACCCGGGTTCGATTCCCCACATGGGCACAATGTGTTCCACGACTGGAATCCATCCCATTTGTGGTCGACTAATAATCCAGAGGTCTAGATTTTCGAAGCTCTCTTAGCGCTAAGATAGTCGTAAGTTAATGTTAATGAATGGCACATACGACTATCTTAGCGCAAAGAGAGCTTCGAAAATCTAGGCCCAGGTGTTGAAGCACTGATGATTGCGGCGGAACCTGTCTGAATTTGACTGTCTGAGCTGTACTGCGGTGTTCTGTAAATAACTGAGTTTGGACCAGACAATCCAGTGACTGACATCAGAGCATCGATCTATGCATTTGGGATACGATGACATGTTACAGCCGAGACATGACCACCCGATCCCGTGAGTCGCTTCTTACGACAAGCATGGGTTGCTGAAGATCAATTCTAACCCGAATGTTTACGGGTACACTTGACACAGAACTAACATTACAATGTCTAGGCCACAGCACAAGGTGTCATTCAAAACACGAGCAACAATTCGAATTGTTTTTATTCAGACTGACAAATAATACATCTCAACGATAAACTATCTGAGGAACGTCAGTTGAAAGCGGAATCGAAAGGGAAGTATATTTATGCATCCAGGTCCTGGAAACATTTACACGAAACGGTTACCACCCCGTTGACGTTTTTCAAGCCTGAACTTAAGTTCGGGAACTTCCGAGGACAGCAGTACTCGTCACCATCCAGTGTGGTTGTGCTTGCTGGTCTGCGACATCTGTTACTACTGATCGGAGGACAATCAATTGTCTCTGCAACAGGATGGACCACGACGTATAGTGTACAATCTTAACGACATTGAATTATAATTAGTGTCTGTCCACTACTACTACTGCTGCTACTACTACTACTTACTGCTGCTGCTGCTACTACTACTACTACTACTACTACTACTACTACTACTACTACTGCTGCTGCTAACACTACTACTGCTTCTGCTACCATTACTACTGCTGTCGCTACTACTACTACTACTACAACTGCTACTGCTACTACTACTACTGCTGCTGCTGCTACTACTACTATTGCTGCTGCTGCCTACCAGAGACCATATATCTATTATATGGTCTCTGCTACCACTACTACTGCTGTCGGTACTACTACTACTACTTCCCAAACTACTATTGCTGCTGCTGCCGCTACTACTACTACTACAACTACTGCTGCTGTTGCTGCTGCTGCCGCTACCAGTTGAATTCATTATTGAATTTTTCTGTTGGCCATGCTGTTGACTCACCTACTGCCAGTGTCGGTGGCACATCAGCGTACACACCAGGCCTACAGCCACCCATACACTCAGTGTTTGTCTAGATGACTCACCTACTGCCAGTGTGTGACACGTCAGCATACACACCAGGCCTACAGCCACCCATACACTCAGTGTTTGTCTAGATGACTCACCTGCCAGTGTGTGACACGTCAGCATACACACCAGGCCTACAGCCACCCATACACTCAGTGTTTGTCTAGATGACTCACCTACTGCCAGTGTGTGGCACATCAGCGTAAACAATAGTCCTACAGCCACCCATACACTCAGTGTTTGTCTAGATGACTCACCTACTGCCAGTGTGTGACACATCAGCGTAAACAATAGTCCTACAGTCACCCATACAGTCAGTGTTTGTCGACTCACCTACTGCTAGTGTGTGACACATCAGCGTACTCACCAGTCCTACAGCCACCCATACAGTCAGTGTTTGTCTAGGCGACTCACCTACCGCCAGTGTGTGGCACATCAGCGTACACAGCAGGCCTACAGCCACCCATACACTCAGTGTTTGTCGAGACGACTCACCTACTGCCAGTGTGTGACACATCAGCGTACACACCAGGCCAACAGCCACCCATACAGTCAGTGTGTTCATCTTGTGCTGGTTCGCTACAAACACAAATAGAGCATTGATAAGAAAGTAACCCTTGCATACAGGGCGTTCATTTTGTTTTAAATCTCTCTCCTCCTCCATCTATCTCTCGCTCCTTTCACCCCTGAAATTCCGGGTTAGAATTGATCTTCATCCACCCATGCTTGTCGTGAGAATCGACTAACGGGATCGCTGCGTAGATCGATGTTCACTTTGTCGATCACTGGATTGTCTGGTCCAGATTCGATTATTTACAGACCGCCGCCACATAGCTGTAATCTTGCCGAATACTGCGTAAAACTAAACTCACTCACTCACTTTTGCTCCTCTCTCCTCTGACTATATCAGTTTGACAATTTCGAACTGCAATCATCGAACTCTGCAGATGGAATAAAATAACCAAGTGTATGTCCAACAATGAAATGTAACTATTATCATTCGTCTTAAGGAACTGAGAGTCGCGGCTGGGCTGTAAAGCGGGTTGTTAAACTATGCACAGCCATAATTCCGTCATTATTATCGCCATTCGGAGGGGCGGTGGGGTAGTCTAGTGGTTTAAGCGTTGGCTCGTCACTCCGAAGACCCGGGTTCGAATCCCCACATGGGTACAATGAGTGAAGCCCATTTTTGGTGTCCCCTGCCGTGATATTGCTGGAATATTGCTAAAAGCCGCGTAAAACCAAACTCAGTCAGCCATTCGGAACTGCCGATTTCGTTCATGCGTACGTTATATGCTTCGAATGACGAATTAAATACTTTGTGTGACGTAACCTGTGTTTTCCACACTGTGGGGAATCGAACCTGGGTCTTCGGCGTGACGAGTGAACACTTTAACCACTGGGCTACCCCACCGACCCACTGTACATGTCTGTCAAGGATGTGACATATATACAGTTTATGGCAACATGCATAAATAACTATTGATGCGATTACACAAATGATTCTCCTTTAATGATACATTCTCATAGATACACATCACCGAACTGAAAGTACTAAACTTACAAGGTTCTACTCACAATGACTGACTATTGGGCTCACTTGAAGTAGGGAGATTTACTATCATGCTGGAGGATTTACCCTCAAGAAGGGACATTTACAATCGTGCTCGGAGAATTACTCTCACGAAGAAACATTTACTATCACGCAGAAAGATTTACTCTCAAGTAGAGAGATTCACAATCATGGTGGGCGATTCATTGTCATGCAAATAGCTTTATTCGCAAGAAGAGAGAATTACCAGTTTCATATTGAAATAAAGGTTACAATAAAGCATGAAAATTTACAATTATACAGACGGATTCACTATCAAGCGGAGAGGCTTACTGTTATGCAGAAAGATTTACTCTCAAGTAGAGAGATGTATTATCAAGCACATAGATTTTACTATCATACAGAACGACTACAATACAGCATAAATATTTACTATTATGCAAAGAGAATTACTATCAAGCGAAGAGATTTACTATTAGGCTGGTAGATCTATTGACAGATTTACTGTCATAATGAACTATGTGTTGTCATATTTAAAGGTTTACTGTCACAAGGAAGTTTTACTATCATGGAGGAGTTTAGTTGTACGTCGTTTTAGCAATATTCAATACCACGGCGGGAACACCTGAAATGAGCTTCACATATTGTACCCACTATCATGAAGGAAGACTTCATTATGCATGACATTGACATTCACTATTACTTTTCATGTTTGACTGATTGATACAGTAGCTATTCTATCAACACAGAAGGGCCATATTTGTTACTGTATTTTTGTCTTTCTATTTCATTTGGTGTGTGGTCCTGTGCGTAGAGCTCAGGTCACGAATCAGTTGAAGCTAAGCCACGTCGAGCTCAGAGAGTCCTTGGATGGGTGACCGTGTTTGGCAGCTTGACTGAGAGTTTCTAGGACTTTTTCGTGCCCCACAACAAAGCACGTGTGATACATGTGGTCTCACCTTAGGCAAGTGAGTTTGTTTAAAATTGCCACTGTTCACCCAACAGAAAATGGGTACCCGGTAGATAGAGTCATGTGACTATAACCTTCTAGTGCCTCACAGGCAGCTTAGGTTATCCGGGGTAACAATAATCAGATTCTGATTACAGCGTCCAGCGAGCAACTAGTCGGATGGATACTAGGCGCTATTTATATGAATTATTAATATTATTGTTTAAATAAAGAAATTACTTCATTATTTTCTAAGAATTTGAAAGGTTGAGGAGTGAATCGAATTCCAGCACCATATGACTTTATGAAGAACTTCAACAGAAATTTGTAATCTATAAAAATAATATAAATACGGCTAAACGTAAATCATAGTTTCCCAGTGTTATCATATCATGATATCATCAAGAAATAGAAAAATCATAGGTTTTGTACAAGAAATAGGCATGCAAAGTTTCGTATAAAGTCTTTGAAATGTAAAGTAGTAGAATTAGAAAGGTTAACGTACTATACCTGTTGTGAAGTTAGAAAGCTGCTGACGATCTGACGCTTCACCGGCATTGGTGCTCCCTTTTATCTGTTATTTTCACGACACGTGGCACAGCCAGTAGGCCACATCACGTGACTTGCATGCGTTTTTCTTTATTTGAAACATGTTTTCGCCATCTGTCCAAACAGACTAATTTTTTTCCTTTTGGGGGGTTTGTGGATGTATTAAACACAATGATTTGTTCATGTCTTTCGAAGCAAAAGATTTTTGTTTTAGCAAAAATAATTTAGGAAATAAACATGCTGTGTTTTCAATGGATTAACAAGTATGCTTTAATATTGTAGTAACTGCAACTTTGTATTTTGTAGCCTATAATTTAAAACAAACAAACAAACAATTTAAATATGTCTACCAACAATGAAAAAAGGTACTAAAGAAAAAATTCCGCGTTGATTCGGTCATCGAGTCTGCTGTTTAATCAGAGGGTTATATTGTGATTTGACAACCTATGATTCACCAATCGAATCAAGTAAATTCCAAATTCATGATAAAATTCTTGAATCTGCGATACTAAACTCAACGATACCAAAGGTCATCTTGTTTCATTTCTGATATCGGAGTATATGATTTTATTTACAAATGTTTTTATATTGTGCAGAAAAAACCATCTCAAACTGATAATAACAGTTTAGCGTTATTACGTGTATGTTATTCAGCCTTATCATGAACTTGTGTTAAAGGGTCAGTTTTGTCTTTTTGAACTTGTGTAAAAAAGTCAGTTTATTCGTTTTGAGAAAATAAAACAAACTAAAAAAAATATAACTACAAGTCGTCCATCTTGAAGTATTATCAACAATACTAATTCTTCAACTACTACCTCTAACACGCGATTGCCTGATCCACATGTTTAACTTGAAAAAACAACAAAAGAAGTAACATATCTTTTATTGTCTTTCTTCCTAGTGGTCTTCCCAAGCTCTATACGTTGGAGTAATCTTCTCCTGACGTGTGCACAGGAACGTCATCATGTTTCCTAGGGTACCTTAAGGAAGTCTGGGATTCCCGGGGAAGGGTGGGCGGGCCTCTATCTCAAGTGTTAGTGGTAGTATTCTAAGACGTATGATGATTGTTGAAAATACTTCAAAATCCTTACGAATACGTGCCTCTCACACTTGATTGGCAAATCCAACATAGGCTTGGTGGGCCCAGACTACGGTTTTCCGCATTTAGTGGTAGTCTACCATTTGAGGCGTCAGACTCAACTATATGCAGCCAAGAAAGCTTGTAGGATCACTACAATCAACCTCAGGTTCAATGCAAAATCACCCTCTGCCCCCATGCCTGTGCGTAAAGGCATCCTGATGAAGCGTCCACTCCTTCGATAGGATCTTGCTGGGCGTGATAGAGCATCTACAAGGATGTCGATCTTCCCAGGGATGTGTCCGGCCAAAATGTTGTAATCCAGACTGTCCACTAGATCGTAAGGTTTAGTTCCTTCGTAAGTTCCATGAGAACCCTACAATGGGTACCACCGAGTCTGTTAATATAGGCAACTACTGTCATGTTGTCGTGGCAACTAGTAGTGAGGAATCCGTGATGATGAATGCCCAGTATTGGATGGTTAATAAGACCGCTTTCATCTCTAAGATGTTGATGTGGACATCTAAATCTAACTCCCAGAGGCCTGATGCCGTCTTACCGTCTTGATGAGCTTACCATCCTGTGAGAGAAACATCTGTGAAGAGATGACGATCTGGCAATGACATCCTGATTGGAGTCCTGTGTATGACGTACGTTGTCAGGGTTCATCCACCATGCGAGGTCCTTGAACACTAGATCCGTAGGTGCCATGACAGAGTCTAGCTGTTTCCCATGATGCTGATTGATCCAATTCTGAATGAATCGTAGATGCATTCATCTCTGAATGTGAACTCCTGCATAGATGTGAGCACTTCTAATAGCGATATTAATTGCTGTAGAGCGCATGGAGATTTCTGGAACTTCGATATCCTGGCTGTTACATCCTGATTACGTTCCGACAGGGGGTATGGAATATGGCCCCTATGTACTTCTGTACTTTCTTGGGCTGAAGCTTTGATACCTGTAAAGGTCTCGCAGACATACTGATTTCTCTAAAGAGTCATCTCCGTCGACATTTGGAGACAGGAAATAGTCGAGATAGACATGAACCCTGACGCGTTGTAGATGGATATTTTTAGTACCTATTATCCCCAATCACCACGGGACCACTGATATTCCGACCAGTAGAACTCTGAACTAGAATATTCCCCGTTGACATCAAATCGTAATCGTAGATGGATGGATAGGTACGTGCAGAAATGCATCTTGAAGATCTATGGAGATCACAATGTCCGCTATGGAAATCGTCTGTCTGAGGTTCTGAATGGAATCCATACGTAACACTGGTGGTCGTCTCAGATATTCCCGGTTGAGAATCTTCAGAACCAGGAATACCAGAGAGAACCCTAATCCGGGGTCTGGATGGCTCAACTTGGCGACAGCTTTCTTGTCCAAGAACTTATTGGTATCATCAATGGTGAAAACTTTGGACCCAGAAGCTGATAGCGGTGCTCATCAAAGGAGGTCTCTTGGTAAAATGAACACGATATCCCTCTTTGACAACCTTGAGGGTCCGGTGGTCGGTCGCTACGATCTTTCAATTTTCTGTATAAGCTGACGAATGGCTGCCCAGTGGATCCTGGAATACCTTCACAGGAAAGGCTGCCATCTGCTTTTTACGATAAGTATTGGGATGAATCCTTGCTACTGCTGTTTTGGAGTTGTTTGAGAAGTCAACTGGATTTTGATCTGGACATGCCGAATTTCCTTGATGGAAAACTCTTACCGCATCCTCTGGCTGGGATTCATTTGGCCTTTCTTTTGCCGTCTTGCCGGCATCCCTACCTCCAACCCCCCAGCCATTTTGGGGTACAATGTTTGTTTTAGATTTGTTCATTGCAATGTAAACATTGGAAAACCAAAGCTGGGAAATTAGAAACAAATAACAGAAAACAAGTAAACACATGCGTTCATGTGTGCCGCCAGGGGGAGATAACTCCGACGGAGAGCGCATGGGAAGGCCACTTGGAAGAAAGACAACACAAGACAATGGGTTATTTTATTTTTCTAATTCAAGTTCAACCTGTGTATAAGAAACATGTTTGAGGAAATAAGGCAAAAAAGTGTCATAGGATCGTATTTGTAAGAACTGTGCATGGTACATTCGTATGTGACCTCTACATGTATTTAACCCTAAGAAAGCCCAAATCCCCCTTTGCCATATTTTAGTACTCCCATGGTATACACTAGAATTTAAGTCATAAATCAGAACAAAGAGTGATAAAATTATGTAGTTTGTTTTTTAAACTATCAAATGTGTCCCAGTCCACCCAGCTGTGAATGGGTACCTCGAAAGGATGGGAAAGTCACACTAACCTGGTGCGCCTAGTGGCTGCACGATTTGTATGATCCCCAGGGAGTTGAGATTGAAAAATACGACGTGCCGATAAGATTGACATCCAGTGATCGAGGGGAAAATAATAATAATAATGATACTAAATAAGTAACAATATATTTTAAGGCAACATTTTCGTTTCGAATCATGTTAATAGAACAAAGAAAACATCGTGACAGCGTGGGCAGGTAATAAATATTTGCTGCACAGAATATTGATATTGTAACATGACAGCTGGGGGAACCACTTTCAAAAATGTCAAAAGGAATGGAAATTATTATTTGTACTCCTTGCAGTTGTAAACACACATGCACTAAGTAAGTTTTTGACACGGCACGTTTTCAAAAATGTAAATTTGCACAGAACACATCTCTTTTTAAATGATTGTCGTATATCAGCGAATACGTGGGAGTGCCGGCTGGGTAGTCACATGGGACAAGAAACCTGGATTGTTACAACTGTGGAACAACAAGTTAGGCGAGTGTTGCATAACAAAGCACCACATCTGGTAACGGCACATACACGTCTTTGTGAGTGCCCATTGCAGGGCAGGACATGCTGTTCATTTTCGCGAATTTCACGAGGTCGCCGTGTGTGTCCTGAGTGCATGAGAATATTGTACAAAACGAATTTTTAGCAATTGATGAAGTTTTCTCGTTTTGTTGGTTTGTTGTTAAACGCCGCGCTCGGCAATGTTCCAGCTATATGGCGGCGTAAATATTCGAGGCTGCACTAGACAATTCAGAGCAATGACTTATATAAATATATAGCGAAGCTGACCACCCGATCCCGTTACTTGCCTCTTACAACAAGCATGGGTTGCTAAATCGGATCTTCACGGGTAAATGTTAAAGAACTGACGATTGCTTGTTAGATGGATGAATGGGTGGGTCATCCGCTCGAACTTATCCGATTACAAGCATAAGGGAGAGTCCGTTTTTGACGCCCCTCTCTCTGATCGGACTTCGGGCAGTCTTATGGATAGTTACAAGCACCCTGTGTTGTTTGTGTGCTGTTTAAAGCCACTCTCATCACTATTCTAGCTGCATGCCGATGGTTATAAAATAACAGAGTTGGGTCAAACAGTCCAGTGAATGGCAGCATGAGCAACGATCACAGACCTCGGGGTTCATGACACGCAAACAACGACCACTCCGTGCCCTACCATCCAATCCCTTATCTCGCCTCTACTGTGAGTGAGTGAGCTGAGTTTTACGCCGCTTTTAGCAATATGGAGCAATATCACGGATGGAGACACCATAAATGGGCTTCACGATTTGTACCCATGTTGGGCATTGAACCCGGGGCCTCAGTGTGACGAGCAATCGCTTTATCCACTTGGAGTGAGGCATTCAACAACAACAAGGACAAACAAATGAACGTATTCATAAAAAATATGTGAAGAATATATTTACCTCCTAAATACCATCCTCCCTAGTTTCTGGAATAGCAGTGGAAATTAAATACAAAATTGTACGTTTTACTCTACTTGTTCACTATTATTGGATCTCTTAGAGATTTAACGAGTGGTGCATGTTTTTTTAATGTCTTCGAAATTAATGTGGTCCATTGTTGCTCCTAATGTCAATCAGTGGATTGTCTGGCCCACACAATGTACCTGGAATATTCTTCAAACATTAAACAAGAACAAAGGTGAGTGAGCATGCTTACAGGTGTCTTTAAAGCAATACCCAAGCATTATCATGAGATACCAGAAAGGGATCCACAAAGACCATCAATACCTACATAAAATCTTTATTTGTCTCAGGACCTGGTTTGCCAGGTCTATCAGGGGACCTGCTTCCAGCACAGACATCTCAGGTGCTGACAAAATATCCCGTCAATACATCTCGGAGTCGCAATGAATGGAAATTTGGCGTGGGCAGTGTTACAGTACCGCCAGTGTGCATCAGCGAACTGTGACTTTTTAGTTTCATCAGCCTCCTCAGAGATGGGAAGTAGGTCCAGATTGACATTGCTCTCTGTGAATCCAACACCAGGACTGTTGATCTGCCTAGGAGCTCCGCTTGTCTCAGTACCATGAATGTCTGTTGTTACTGTACAATGTGTTGTGCCCCCACTACTGGTGGGTGAATTTATTAGTTGTCTTGTATTGTTTCAACTGTGGTAAGAACGTTTCTGACTGGTATGGTACACCAGCACTTATGTCGCCTCTATAGTGAATGAGTGAGTGAGTTTTAGTAATATTCCAACAATATCACGGCGGGGGGACACCAGAAATGGGCTTCACACATTGTACCCATGTTCGGAATCGAACACAGGCCTGACGAGCGAACGCTTTATCCACTGGGTTTCCCCAACACCCCTCGCCTCTAACGACAAGCAGAAGTTGTCGGTAGTGTCTTATAACCAGGCACCACTGCAAGGTAATTCAAAAGTTTAAATGCATTCAAAAATAATAATGCATTCATGTCCGCCTCAGTCTCTAGGTGACGTTAACCGCTTTACTAACATTTTCTCTCATCCAAATTCTACGGAATAGTGGACACGTTGGCCTCGCCATGTATGTCCCGTGGAGTTTATCCATTACATGAGCCCACAGCTTGACTCTTCCTATACGGTTGTAGCAACCCTGTCATCAGAGACCATTTGATTTCAACACCGATAACCAATGCATAGATTACCCAGAGATACATAATGTCAGCTGTGGCACCACGCGCCATTCTGCCTGAGTCATGTGATGCTTGTTAAGCTCACCTAACTTGACTGATGTTTGTTTGTTTGTTTGTTGTTTAACGCTGCACTCAGCAATATTCAAGCTATATGGCGGCGGTCTGAATATTATAGTCTGGACCAGACTATCCAGTGATCAACATCATGAGCATGGATCTACGCAGCTGGGATACGATGACAACCAAGTCCGCGCGCCACAACCCGATCCCGTTAGTCACCCCTCACGACAACCATGAGATTCTTAAGACCAATTCTAACCCGGATCTTCACTGGTACTTAACTGAACCCCGCCATATGCCTGGAATATTGCTGAGTGCGGCTTTAAACAACATATACTTGACTGAACGTATTTTATTTTTTTATGAATATATTTGCTTCGGTTTGTCAAACTTCCAGACATCTCAAGTTGTACAAATGTGAACATGGGTATTGCCGCCCCTTGTTCACTATGGTATTTGAGGTATTAAGTTCCCAGATCCAGTGAGTACCTCTTGAATACCATCTCAACCAGTTTATCAGTAATTATTTTTAAGCTACCTACACGAACGTGGAACATTCACGCCACCGTCCCTAGTTTCTGGGACCGCCTCCGTGGTGTAGTGGTTAGAGCGTCCGCCCGGAGAGCGGAAGGTCGAGGGTTCGATCCCCGACCGCGTCATACCAAAAGACGTTAAAATATGGTACTTGTTGGTCCCTGCCTGGCGCTCGGCATTAATGGGTACAACAAGGACTGGTCGGCTCGGAGTCAGTATAATGTGTCTGAGTGGGGTATTCATGCTTCACTGTGGCATGGTATCTCAGTGGGCTAGCACTATAAAACCAGCTTAAGTCTGGGCTAGTACAAGCAGCCGCACATACACATACATACGCATGCACGTCGTCATATGAGCGAAATATTCTCAAGCACGACGTTAAAACCCAATTTCACCTCACCTCACCTCACCCTAGTTTCTGGAATACCAATGAAAATGTTAGTTTTAGTTTTACAGATGCATGGGCTCAACGCTGGATTTAAATAGCAGTGCATGTTCTTTTTAAATGTCTTCGTCCCCAGCGGAGTATTCCTTACACAATAAACAAAAAGGAAGGTACAAAGCGTGAGTGAGTGAATACCACCCAATCCCCTATCTCGCCTCTACTGTGAGTGAGTTTAGTTTTAAGCTGCTTTGAGCAATATTCCAGGAATATCATAGCTGGGGACACCAGAAATGGGCTTTATGCATTGTGCTTATGTGAGGAATCGAATCTGGGTCTTCAGTGTGATGAACGCTTTATCCACTGGGCTACCCAACTGCCCTCACAGGATACCAAGGGGCTGTGGGTAGCCTGGTGGTTAAAGCAATCGTTCATCACCACGTAGACCTGGGTTTGATTCCCCACATGGGTTAAACATGTGAAGCCCATTTCTGGTGTCCCCACCCTGATCTTGCTGAAATAATGATAAACTCGATGTAAACCTAAACAAACTCACTCATGCGATCACAGGATACCAGAAAGTGATCCACAAGGATACAAAGACCATGAATACCCACATAAAATCTTTATTTGTCTCAGGACCTGGTTTGCAAGGTCCATGTGGGGACCTGCTTCCAGCACAGACATCTCAGGTGCTGACAAAATATCTGTCAATGCATCTCGGAGTTGCATTAAATCAAATTTGGCGTGGGCAGTGTTACAGTACCGCCAGTGTGCATCAGCGAACTGTGACTTAGTATCATCAGTGTCACATGAGATGGGAAGTAGGTCCAGATTGACATTGCTATCTGTGAACCCTGTACCAGCACTGTTGATCTGCCTAGGAGCTCCGCTTGTCTCAATACCATGAATGTCTGTTGTTTCTGTACAATGTGTTGTGCCCCCACTACTGGTGGGTGAATTTGTTGGTTGTCTTGTATTGTTTTCACTGGGGTACGAACTTTGTGAATTTTCTGACTGGTATGGCTCACCAGCACTTGTGGCAAGTATTTTCTTGGAGTCATTGCTGTCTTTGTGGATGTCACTTTGTATCACAGAGTTCCAATCAGCAGAATTCATCACTGAGTCAGATGCTACATTAGCAGAATTGATCACAGAATTAGTTGCTAGATCAGCAGAATTTATCACAGAATTAGTTGCTAGATCAGCAGAATTTATCACAGAATTAGTTGCCAGATCAGCAGAATTTATCACAGAATTAGTTGCTTGATCAGCAGAATTTATCACACTTGTGGTCACATTTGTAACACAGTTTGTCTTTTCTGTACATAATGAATCAGTTTCACTGAGAGGTGTTGGAGCCACATGGAGCCTGGAGAGAGCGTGGAGCCGATGCTGGGCGATGGTGGTGAGGAAGGAGAGGAACTCGATGTAGTTTATGCCGCTGCTGGCCTTCAGGATCAACTGGAACACAACAGGCAATATACATTAAGGTCAGGATAACATGACAAGACAGTCACACACACAGGCAATATACATTAAGGTCAGGATAACATGACAAGATAGTCACACAGGCAATCACTGCATTGCACACTAACTGTTTGTGTCCAATCTATTCATCTGAGCTGCCAACCTAAAGATGGTCCATAATGAACTCAACTCATCCCTACCGATGGTCCATGATCAACAGTTCTGAATCCTGCAGATGGTCCATGATCAACCAGCCTGATCCGTACCAATGGTCCATAAAGAACCCAACTCATCCCTACCAATGGTCCATGATCAACAGTTCTGAATCCTGCAGATGGTCCATGATCAACCAGCCTGATCCGTACCAATGGTCCATAATGAACTCAACTCTCTACCAATGGTCCATGATCAACCATTCTGAATCCTGCAGATGGTCCATGATCAACCAGCCTGATCCTTACCAATGGTCCATAATGAACTCAACTCTCTACCAATGGTCCATGATCAACCATTCTGAATCCTGCAGATGGTCCATGATCAACCAGCCTGATCCCTCTTGATGGTCTATGACACACTAACCTGATTTTAGTTAGTTTTGTTTGATGCCACACTAATATAATCGAATCTGGACCAAACAATCCAGTAACATACAACATAAGCATCGATCTATGCAATTGGTATAGGACTCCATGCATCAAGTCAGGCCTCCAACCATCCAATCCTGGTAGATGCTTCTTTCGACTAGCAGGGCTGATGAAGATCAATTTGGTCAGGATTTTCATAGATACACCCTACTGAGCTTAACAGATGGCCTGTGATCCACTGAACAACTCAGTCTTCAAGTCATAAAAGACTGGCATCCTGACGTGACATCATTAAATATATACACAAAATATTCAATGACCTCCTTCTTCAAGGCAATAACCAGGAAGTGCTTGATATTGCAGTCACTAGCACTCGGGCAATATGTTCATGAAATTACTGCAGCCTCTCGTGCTATTACTGTGGAGTGAAAAAAACACACTAAATGAAACGTCTGACATAAGAGAAATAATTGGAGTTATCTCCCCCTGTCAATAGTTTGTTCAGATTCTACTACAAGAAGTCGTAATGAGCAATTCCCACACTTTGGTTCAGAGCAGGAGCTGTAATTGGATAAGTTGTTTTTTTAAATGACTTCAAAAATATTTTAGTGTCATGCGTATTAAAATCACATCATCTCAATGATAATTTTAAGTAGGTAATATTTTGTAACATTTGAACTGGGTGTGGTATGTTTAGCTTCCCGGAATCTGAATAAACTGGATATATTTATTGTGTTTATTGTTGCCTTAAAGCCAGACTGCACAAATGTACATGTAGTAGCTGTTGAATGCCGCTATTATTTAAAAAGGTGTGACATGTAGTGCGTTTAGCTTCCTGTAATCAAAAGAGGTGCTTTCGAAAAAAAGACATATTTTTTATTTTTATTGCATTAGGCCATATTTGACATGTACATGTAATTGTTGTTGAGTGAGTGAGTGAGATGGGTTTTACCCCACTTATAGCAATATTCCAGTATATCACTGCAGGGGACACTAGAAATGCGCTTCACACAGTGTACCCATGTATGGATTCAAACCTGAGATTTCAGCATGATGAGCAAATGTTTCATGCCCAAAGCTATGCGACCGGCCCTGTTGTTCAATGCTTAATTATTTGTGAAGAAATTGAAATTTTACAACATATGACTATGGAAAACGTTTTGTTCTGTGCCAGTCCCACCTGACACTGCTCTTGCCATCCGTCCATGTCGCGACAATCTGCAATCTCCTTCTGTACTTCTCGGAGACACTGCTGGATGTGTGCCCAGCAGATGTCTATGTTACATCCGTTCAGCCAGTTGTGGTTGATGGAAATAGTGTCTTCCTGTAACAAATATTTTTACTCCATTTTAAGAACAGTAACAGCCTTTTTATATGAATGTGCAGATGAGTGAGTGAGTGAGTTTTGGTTTTACGCCGCTTTTAGCAATATTCCAGCAATATCACGGCGGGGGACACTGGAAATGGGCTTCATACATTGTACCCATGTGGGGAATCGAACCAGGGTCTTCGGCGTGACGATCGAACGCTTTAACCACTAGGCTACCCCACTGCCCCGAATGTGCAGATGAAAATACAGATGTTGTTTATTATGAAACGAACCGAAATATTCTTTATCCTCTCCTAATCAATTAAGGTTTTTGTTATGATAAAAATCAGATTGTTTATCAACTTTTAGTATGCAAAAAGAAAAAGAAATGTTAATTGTTATTCATGATTTAAACCTATGTCATACATTTTAGTATAAAATCCGTCCATTCTTTCACTCCTCCAACTCTAGGGGTGTGGCATAGCCTAGTGGTTAAAGTGTTTGCCCGTCATGCTGAAGCCCCAAGTTCGATTCCCCAAATGGGTACAACGTGTGCAATCCCTTTCTTGTGTCCGCTGTCGTGATAATGCTGGAATATTGCTAAATGTGAAGTAAAACTGAACTCACTTTTCCATCCCAATATTACCTGACCATATACTAACTTGGAAAGCTGTCACCAAACACCTTTATCATATCAGCTGGAAGTTACTAAATTGATAGCTGCAGTCATAAACAGCTGTATTTAGAATAAAATAGGAGACTGTGCGAATTTCCATAGCATAGCTTACCACATTGAACACCTGGTGATGCCAGCCACTTGGGACAAAGATTATCTCCCCTTCTTCCTGATAGACCTCAAGGCGGTGTTGCAGGTGCTTGTAGCTGGGATATCTGGACTGGTCAGCAAGCTCGCTGGATGTGACATCATACACCAGCTGACCAAACACATCAGTCAGGCACTTTTCTTCTCCTGCCACAAACAAGGGTCATCATGAAAGGGTGAGTTACCTGGCTTGGATACTGCCACAAACAAGGGTCATCATGAAAGGGTGAGTTACCTGGCTTGGATACTGCCACAAACAAGGGTCATCATGAAAGGGTGAGTTGCCTGGCTCGGATACTGCCACAAACATGGGTCATCATGAAAGGGTGAGTTACCTGACTTGGATACTAACACAAACAAGGGTCATCATGAAAGGGTGAGTTACCTGGCTTGGATACTAACACAAACAAGGGTCATCATGAAAGGGTGAGTTACCTGGCTTGGATACTAACACAAACAAGGGTCATCATGAAAGGGTGAGTTACCTGGCTTGGATACTAACACAAACAAGGGTCATCATGAAAGGGTGAGTTACCTGGCTTGGATACTAACACAAACAAGGGTCATCATGAAAGGGTGAGTTACCTGGCTTGGATACTGACACAAACAAGGGTCATCATGAAAGGGTGAGTTACCTGCATCATGAATTCTTTTTGCTTGTTTGTTTGTTGTTTCCCACCATACTCAGCAATATTCCAGCAATATGATGGCGATCTGATAGTCTGACCCTGTTAGCTGCCTCAAGGAGGACAAACAAGGATTTGAACCCTGGATTATAAGTTTCTTACACGCTGAAGTGATGCAAATCCGTAAATTACAAGTCCTCAGACAACTGGGCCTACCATACCTCTTATTTGAGGCAAGTGAGGAAGCAAGTTGGATTAGATGCACTGTATTTATGTCCTTTCACACTGTGTCAGCTTGATCTGTGGCTTATGTGGTAAATCCACAGTTACACATGTTTGCCACTATGGTGAAACCAACTGTATGGGCATGACAAACCATAATCTGAAGAACCTGAGATTGGCACCTATAGCTGTCAGATCCTGAATTGGCAAAGGGAGACAACTACTCCAATCTTAAAGGACCAATGTGTCCCTGCACTTCATGCTATTTTTATACATTTAACACCTACGTAGACCCAGTGGAATTCAAGCTAGACTGACCTGGTGGAAAGAAGATCCACTTCTTCCGTCCACAGATGTTAGCTGACCAGCTGTATGACCGGAACACGTCAGCGTGGAGTGGGGTCCTGAAGGTCAGAAGGTCACCACTGTACGACTTTGGCATGTATAACTACTTCATTTACATAAGGAAGATACAGACATTTTAGGTCATCAAACCATAAACACAGTTTGTCAGATTTTGGGGTTAATTTACAACAGCTCAATAATAAGTGTGTAAGGGTGACACCACAGGTGCTGAAGCTCACCTTTATCAGATGACAAAAAGTCAAGTGAAAAGTTGTTTAATCAGCTTTTTCATCTAGGAACCATTGGTGCAGTTCTAGGATACCATGAAATTTAATGTATGTCATTTATGGTTGTTAACAAATTTGTAATCTCAATTTTCGTAAAAGCTTCTGTTCAAGGCCAGACCAATTTTATTTCTTGTTTTACGGATCCACGTGTCATATTTTTTCAAGAATAAGAAAAAAAATCAGAATTAATTTTCCCTGCTCAATAAATAAAATCCTTATGTTTATAAAATGTTTTTTTTTTGCTTTTTGCTCCATATACACTTGATAAATTGCCCAAAGTAAAATATTTTGAGTATTTAGAAAGAATATTACTTTGACAGGAGATTTTTACATTTATTGTTTTTCCCTCCTGCCTTCAGGTCTTCTAAGGACAAATATCCATAAAACAAGAAATAAAATTGGACTGGCCTAATAAAGGTAAATGATTAATAATTCGGTAAGATTACAGAATACCGGATACCTTCCGCCATCTTTGAAAGCACGCGAGTTTACTATTGGTTATTCTTACACACCCGTGGGTGAGAAACCCATGTGAGAAAACTGGTATCACACATATGTGTGAGATCGATTTCTAATCCCGTGATTGGCTACTCCATGGTGATGACCTAGGGTCAGGGTATGACGGACTACTTTCCTGATTAAAATTCATTGATAAGTTACTCGTGCTTCAATCGAACAGAAACCTGTTACTCGTGCAAAAAATACCCCTTTACACCTACCTGTTATTTTCGCGATTGCAACATAAACAGGTATTTATAAAATGAGTCACAAGTAGAATAAATATAACACAAATCTATTTATTTTCTAATTCCTTTTATTAAAACTTTCGATTTCTAGTCATGAATTCAAAATGGCTCCAACAATCAGTGATACCTGTGTAAACAATTATGTGAAAATCACCGTTACAGATAAAGCCCTTGATTCCTTCCGAATATTCAAAATGTACAACACTGGTACTTTTACTGGAGAGATGCGACAAAGTGTCGTATGTCGATCTTGCAAAAATACCTGACACGATAACGTCAGTGTCTGTCCATTGTGAGATCGATTTGCCTCGTTTCTTTTGATGCATTGATGAAGATGACATTTTTTCACTGATACACATGATGAAGACCCACTTCCAGCTGCGAGATACTACAACTATGTCATTCCAATGTTATCAAATTCACTCATGATAGTCAGAACCAAAACACACTCGTTGAAACAATGTACAACATGGTACGTTTTGCAAGGCTTCATGAGTGCAAATGGCGGCACACGTCCTTTCTATTCTATCGAACATGTACAGGAACGGTTGATCTACACATAAGTCACCGCTCAAGATATTCCTCCGACGCATGATAATGCAAAGTTTATGTCTTGATAACATACAGGATGTAATCAACTCACATTTCATACTGACAACTCCGTTACATTCCAAGTGGCAGTTTCTGGCTCGGGAAAACGAGAAGGATGTGGCGGAGAAGAGTAGTCCCCGATTGATAGTGAACGTAACCCTCGAGCAATGTCACATTCAAGCACACTGGAGGTGCACCTAATTACACACACTCAAAAGTTTTGGCGGTCGATGGGAGAACATTGAACGTAAACTGGTACAAAGTACAGATCCCCAATGTGCAAAGATATCCAAAACAATCTTCCGATGATCTACAACCACCAAGCAATAACGATGACGCCACTGCCAAATATTTTACGGCTTGCAAGATTAAAATCATCCACATTTGCATGGTAACATCATCGTTTTAGAGGGTTTAATGACTTTTCTGTGATCTTATCTAGTTATCATTATCTCTATTGCCTTGATGATCGCTAAGAGTTGGCAGAAACCTTTTGTGGAGGGTCACCATTGGGATGTGTAGTGATTAGGAAGCCAAGTGACGTCACTCATTCATAAACGTTGTGTTATGTATTATTGCGCACCTACGATGAGAAAACATGAAATTTGACAACTCGTTGTAAGATAAATGGTATCGGACATCTCACTCGTTTAGTAATCTCTATGGGTTAGGGTTAGGGTTAGGGTTAGGGTAAGGTTTAGGGTTAGGGTAAGGTTTAGGGTTAGGGTAAGGTTTAGGGTAAGTGTTAGGGTAAGGTTTAGGGTTGGGTTAGGGTTAGGGTAAGGTTTAGGATTAGGGTGACGTGACACTAAACGATATGGCTGGTAGGTATCCGGTATTCTGTAAGTGTACCAATAATTCATATACCGCGAATAAACCTGTCATTCATTCAGTCTAGCCACGCTCGCCCCTGAGTTGTTACCATAACACATCAAGTTTAAAGACAGAAATCTACGGGAATCTTAAAATGACGACTGATAGTAGCATAAAGAATCATACTTAACTGTCGCTGTAATGTATTTCCCAAAACATAATTAAATAATGAGCCAAATCCCATCGCCGAATTAGCGAAAACAGTAATGTGTTTTGTGGCCGCCATGGAAATTGGTCACATGACAGATGGTTTGATACAAAACAGATTACCATGAAACGACTCGGAAAGAAATAATACAGCAGTATTTTATTTATTCATTAAGATTTTATTTACCAGTACTTCATGAAGCGAATAGTCACTTAACACTCAATCATCTCATTCACAACAACCCGGCTTGTTTGAAATCACAAAGAGCTTCATATACAATAGAAGTTAATTCGTCAGATCGTCAGAATTCGGAACATAAGACTGATGTGTTTTTCATCTCTTCCGTCTTCTGTCGCACAGATAGGGATTTCCTGTGAGTATGCAATAAACGCCGCCTGACAGGTTAAGCCACTCTGTTTGTTTTCACTGCTATTAGTGGCGGCCAAAGAGACAGCTGGCAGTTCCGGCAATTACTGATTGCGCGAATAATTGACCGCGCGATGTAGTCTAAACTGTCAGTTCCGCGAAAATTGCACCACGCAAAAATAAGTACGTTTACAGTACCTGTGATTCAATAATGAGAAACATCTCTATCAATTTTATTTGTGTGTGCATGTATTTGTGCGAGGCAGAAAAATAAAACGTAACACCACACACAATGTAATTGCTTACAGAAAGACTCAGGGAAATAATTTCTTACAAAACACCAGAAATAGGTTTCACACATTGTACCCATGCGGGGAATCAAACCCAGATCTTTATAATGAGCGAACGCGTTAGGCTACCCCACCACCCACTATGAAAGGTGAACACATTCACCATTGCAAGTATACATAAAATAACTCAACATTGCAATCAGTGTGCGAAATAGTTTCCAAATTTTGCAAGTCAGTCAGGCTAGCTATGCCTGAAAGTTACTAGCCCACAAAATAATTCACCAGCCCGAAATTTGAATGAAGACTCAAAGCACAATAGATGAGAAAACCATAGGCCAATTCAAAAATGCATTCCAATCATCTAAACCACCCAATTTTAATATATTCGATAAAAACTTTGGTACACGTTTCTGCCAAGTTATCCACTCACGCCTCAGACTTGGGTGCAGTAATTTGAAAGCGCACGTTTGAACGGCACATTTCAGTTGATCCATTCTGTTCCTGTGGTCACCCCTATGAGGATACTTTACATTACTTCTTTACTTGTCCTAATTATTCAAACATCAGACATCACATGTATTTTTACGAACATGGATATAATTTAAATTCTGTCCTAAATGGTAATCCAAACAAAAATGTACTTGTAAATTCTTTCATACTACAATCTGTCCATTCTTTTATAATAAAATCAGCATAGGTTTGATAAATGATTAATAATGTTTAATATGCAGGTTGCTTGCTTTCCTATCATGCTGCATATTATTTAATATTTGTTTTATTCAGGTATCAGTGAAATGGAGAGGTATTCAAATAAGCCATTAAGGCTTGTTTACCAATCCTAGTTCAATTTATTTTGAATAAAATATGTTTACACAAAAAAACAACAACAATAGATGAGCATAAGATATTGTCGGCATGACACAGGTTTCATTATTTAGCTGCAAATATGAAGCCATAATCTTGCATGATTTAAAAGTGTATTGTAATTTTACAGGTTGGAGAAAAAGATATATTAATAAGTGACCCCATGAAAATTCACTAGCCAGTTGGACCAGTGACTGTGGAGATTTACTGGCCCAACTGGATTTTACTAGCCATGGGCTAGCGGGCCAGTGGCTGAACTGCACACTGATTGCAATAAGGTGCTACATTGAACTTGTCATGAATTTTACTTTCTCGATTTTCTTTCCTTTCTCTACGGCAATGTGATACATATTCATCAGATCCCCTCGGGCTGTTAATAATGAGTGACTCTTGCACTTAAATTTGTTGTTTCATTTATTTCAGGTCATGCACATTAGTCATACGCCCAGTTTTCCTACTCCCATTTGTCATACAGGTATGTAGCGACTAACTTACACAATTGTCTGAGTACACCTTGGAAGCTGAATGGATTAGCCCACTGTCAAGAAAGGCAGGTAAGGCCTGTTAAACCCATAACATTAATCCATTAACAGAGATTTCAGCTTTATGGATGACAAGTTCTTGTTTATTGTATAGAGCAACGTTTTAGTGTAGATTCTTACGCCATTATCAAGCAGTAATATTCAAACACTGAATCCTGAGATCTGGACTGCAATTCTGAGTAAAGAGATCAAAGACAAAGAAAAACTGAAAAAACTGAAAGATTTTACAGTAATTCATGTTGATGACATGGTTAAACTAAATATTATTCAAAATAACCAAAATGATTAAATTATCTTTAAGTCATTGATATCCCCTGCAATGGAAAACATACTTGTTGTAAACATATATTTG